TGTATCCTCCTCAGTACTTACAGTAGGTGCAGATCCTGATGCTTCTTCAGCTCTTAAAGGCACTGAATCTTCCCCTCTTAGGCTGTCAGGAGCTGGCTCTGGGGCTGAGTCAAGGGCAGGCATGACACTCCGACTGCTTTGTTAAGTGAGCGACTTAACATTTCCCCTTCATTTAACCAGGGCTTCCTCTCTCCAGAAGCAAAATCATCCTGGTTACTTAGAGACGAAGACAAACAAACTGCTCTGCATGTGGCAGAATTTCTAGCAGGTGTTGTCAGATCACATGTCAATTTTTGCAGTAGTAACCTTTAAGTTCCTCAATGCTTTCCTGTGGATTGAGGTTTATTGTGGGACGTGGGTTTGCTGCCTATGACTCCAGCTGCAAAACCAGTTAAGGTAATAAATAATGTGTGGATGAAGATAAGCTGCGGTAGCCATTTCGTGGCTGGCTCCGCCTCCTGCCGCAGCCATTTTGTGGCTGTGCCCGTCAGCCTGTCTCAGAATTCCAAAGGTGCTGTTGGGATTCTTAATTCAAGGTCGATGGTTGTATTGCAAACACAAGAGCCACACTTAGTAAAATAAAATATCTTTATTATAAAAACAAAATAAAACATGGGTATGTTACTTTGGATAAAAGAAATAAAATAAAAGTTACATACAGCTACATCTTTCTATCTGTCTTGGCTTCTAGAAGAGAACTACCTCTTTGGTTCACACAAAGGGCCATAAACGTGTGAATACATTAATGCTAGATCAAAGCATTCCTACAAACAAGATGTTAGCTGACCAATACAAAGGTTACAGGTCACTTCATCAGGGTAAACAACTCCCACAAACTTTCCCGCCGTTGAATACATTATGTAACGTAACATCCTGTTTCCTAACAAACAACATTTAACTCTGTAATGACTGAAGTGTAAGCAACTGGCCATTCCAACAGGTGCCCACAGGCTCAAAAAGGATGGGGACCCCTGCATTGGAGCTAAACGGAAAGCCTGGGGAAGGGGAGGTAAAGACCCAGCAAAGAAATAAGGGTGGTGCTGGGGTTCTGGAATCTGGCCGAGACCTCAGGGTGAGAGCACCTCCCTTAGTAGCCCTGTTTAGTTGACGGCTGGCCGGCACTGGCTTAAAGGGCCATCCTTGGGATTCAGCCACATAGTGACCAGTCCATGCTGGTCACGAGGGAGGAATTCCCTGCAATGAGGCAAACCCAGAGGATGGCAGCCAAAGGGCTACGAGAGTTCTTGAAAGGCAACGGCTCCCGGTAATCCGGTGCTCCGTGCCAAACATGAGTGGGAAAGTGGCGTAGGAACAGCAGCCGTCTCAGAAGGAGCTGCGTAATGCCTCCGAATTACAAAGCTCTCCTCACCCCATTAGCCAGAACTGATGCCATCTCCCTCGAGGCAAAGAGAGAAGAAGCAGCGGGCACCAACCGGCCTGAGTGGTATTCAGTTAGCTGGTGGAGGTCAAATTTCAAAGTCTGCTTGGCTTGCCCAGATCTTGCCATGTCTTTCTCTCATTGGAGACTTTCAAAACATCCCACACATTTGTGCCCATCAGTTTGGCATAACAGTTTCAGGCTTGGATTTGAACGGTGCAGTCCTCAGCAGAGTTATCCTATTCTGCATCAATTGGGGGAGGGGGATGCCCCTGTAAATTACCCTTTTGCCAGCATAACAGCCGTTCTGCTGATGGGACGATATTTCTGTTTGTGGAGGGGGGAAGGGTGATTTTGGCTGATCCCCCCTCCTCCGGCCCAGAAGCTGCAGTTGCGAAAGGATGCTGCAGACAGAATGTTACTTGGGTCACTTGGACCAGATCACTGCCATGTTGACCCATCTGCACTGGCTCCCAAATCAGGGTGCTGGCATTGACCTTTAAAGCCCTATATGGGCTGGGCCAGGTCTCCCGCAGGAACCCCCACCCATCTGCTCTAGCCGTCTTCGGAGGCCCTGCGTCCGGTTCCCCCACCATCCGAGGCGAGACAGACGGTGGCCCAAGAAAGAGCCTTCTGAGCCATGGTGCCCAAACTCTGGAATTCCCTCTCTGGTGAAACCCATCGGTCTCCCTCTGCCATCGTCTCCCACCAGTAGGTGAAGACTTGTTCTGTTTCAATTGGCATATTCCCCCCATATTGTGAGCCCTCCACCCTGGTTGTGTTTTTCATTTATATGTCTACATAGGTTCAGGAGGGTAGCCGTGCTGGTCTGAAACAACAGAATAAAGTTTGAGTCCAGGGGCACCTTTAAGACCAACAAAGTTTAATTCTGGGTAGAAGCTTTCCTGGGCACGTGAGAGGTTCCCTTGGACTCCAATTTTGTTCTGTATGTCTACATGTTCTTACTGTAATGTTAGATATTTATATAGACATTTAAAATTCTGTTTTGAGCGTCTTAATACCTCAATGTTCACTGCCTTGGGGACCCATTTGGGCGGAAAGGCAGCATATAAATGCCTTAAATAAAATAAGTTGTAGACCCCCCCCCCCTGTTCCTGGAGCTTTATTGACCCACAAGAGCACAATTTGGGGGGCACAGAAGGAGGGAAGCTACTTTCCTGTAGTGTGACTCCTGGGGTGGACCGGAAGGCTACAACGGCCTTCGAAAGGGCCCCTCCCACACCACGCCTCCCTGAGAGAGGGAGAGCCGGGTGCCACTGGTGAGTAAGTCGGGAGGCAGCAGGCACAGGAGGCTCTCCTAAGCCAGGCAGCGGCCTCCTCACCTGCCTGGCCAGTCAGCCCAAAAGCAGTGTTGTGGCCCAGGTGAGGTGCCGCAGTCTCCTGTTACCTGGCAGCAGCTGGTGCCCAGCCAGGCCAGTCTCTTTGCCCCCAGGCCAGCTGCACCCCCCCCCCCTCCGATTTCCCCCAGAGATTCTAATGGCCAGTCCCACCCATCCATGCTGCCCAGGACTCAGGCCTCGCTCGGTCTGCCCCATGCCAGTCTCTCCTCAGTGTATCGTGCTCAGTACCTCTGCGGTCTACAAAGAGCTTTCTCTGAAAAGAAGGGAGATGTCTTAAACTAGGAGTAGTGTTGGATTCTCTGGACTAGGTACTGCCAGGGAACCGCGGGAAAAACAGCAGAGTGCTCAAAGGCTTAAACGCAGCAGAGTTCGGGGCTGGGTGTGGCGACAGACTCACAAAGTCACACGGAGTCAGCAGTCAGTTCTAAAACCAGGGCTCTTTTTGTAGAAAAAGCCCAGCAGGAACTCATTAGCATATTAGGCCACACCCCTGACAGCACAGCTCATTGGTATATTAGGCCACACCCCCATGTTACCAGCAATGTTCCCTCTAAGCTGTGGAGTCTTGTGAGCAAAAATTCTACTTTGTGAGCTACTGGCATTAAAGTTCTGAGCAAGCAATTTGGCTACTGCATAAATTAATTTGTTCTGGAGCCATCCTTCCTGAGCTAAGACAAAAATGTGTGAGCCAGAGGCTAAAAAACTATGAGCTAGCTCACACTAACTCAGCTTAGAGGGAACACTGGTTACCAGAAGTGTGCTCATCCAGCCACACCCACCTTTTGCTTCTTATTCTGTTTACCTTGTTTGTTGTCCAAACCCAGGGCTTTTTTGTAGCGGGAACTCCTTTGCATGTTAGGCCACACACCCCTAATGTAGCCAATCCTAATGAGTTTCTGCTGTTGGGTGTGGCCTATTATGCTAATGAGTTCCTGCTGGTCGTGGCCAACTTGGAAGCCAGCCGGAACTCCGTTCCTGTGCGTTCCTGCCCAAAAATGGCCCTGTCTAAAATAAGTAACATTTCTTAAAGGAAATACGTGGTTGAGAGGGCAGGCAAGAGATAGATTGCCTGTTCTAACTAGCTAGATGGTGTTGGATGCTGGACGCATGTCCAGCCTCCATGGTGCAAGATGGAGATCAAGCACCTTCTTCGTGCACGGGAGAGACAGGAGAGTGTGAGAGCAGAAGCAGAGGAAATTGCCTCTAGGAGTAGCATCCTACTTCAAAGGAGAGGATCAGATAGCAGGAAGGAAAGGATACTCTGTATGTCCTGGACTCTCTATCTGTCTAAACTCTTTGGTGCCATCTTCTCAAGGCTGAGGCAGGAGACAGCGCCAAGCCCTCCACTTCTAACAAGTAGAATGCGTCCGGAGGGAGAACTGAGGGAAGACATCTGCCATCTGGAAACATTCTCTCCTGCTGCCAGGGGTCCGAAGCCCAGCCCATGGCTCGGAGTGCCTGACCCAGGCCGGATGGATTCACTCACCTAGGAGGTCTTGTCTGCTCCGGGTCTTTGGGTTGTTTTGTTGTTGTTGTTTTTTAAATACTCTACTGTATGTACATTTATTTAGAAGGGTATTTTCTGTAAGCCACTTTAGGGTCCCCCATCAGGGCTCCCTCTAAGCTGTGGAGCCTTATGAGCAAAAATTCTACCTGATGAGGTACTGGGATTAAAGTTGTGAGCCAGCGATTAGGCTACTGCATAAATCAGTCTGCTCCTCTGGAGCCCCATCCCTTCTTGAGCCAAGACAGAAATGTGTGAGCCAGAGGCTGAAAAGCTGGTAGCTGGCTCACACTGACTCAGCTTAGAGGGAACACTGGTCCCCCTTAGGGAGGAAAGTGGGATGAAAATATACGAAATAAGTAAATCTCATAAACCAAATGTGGTGAAAAAGAAGAAAAAAATGAATCCATATAATCAACAGGCTCTTAAAACCCCTGGTTTATTAACAATAAGTTAAACAAAGTAAAACTCTTAAATAACATCAGAGGTTCCTGCCCCCTGCATACATATTACATATTCATTAAGAAAAATGTACTTACAAATCATTAGGAAAAAAGTAATTGCCAAACTATATATTAAAATATTCTTCATTATGAGGGGCAGCCACTTGCCAGACCTCATCTTTGTTGTTGTTGTTCCAAAGCAGGCCCATAGCTACGATGGGGCATTTTGGGGCTCTGCCCCCTCAAATGTGAGGCATGCCCCCAGACAGCCGCTGCCCCTCCTCCCTCTCCCTCCCATGACATTAAAAGGGCCCTCCATGTGGCCTGCCAATCAGCTGAACGGCCCTTTGAAACTTGCAGGAAGGGGAAGGAGGGGGCAGCTGCACACCTTCCCTGGATTCCAAGCAGTGGTTTTGCCCCTTGGAGCTCAGGTGTGGGCAGCCCCTGGTTGAAAAACACAATTTAAAGGGAACCGTTTCAATTTTTTTCCAGGCAAGGACTGCCTGCACCTCAGGTGTCTTACACGACCTCCCACCAGCTGCCCAGGAGGGCCAACGAAGAGGGCACAGAGGCCAAAACCCTCCTCTGATGTCACCTCCTGGCACGTGGGCTTCAGAGGTTGACTGCCTCTGAATATGGAGGCTTCCTTAACTCTACGCCATGGATGTATCTGTGTCAGCTACAACTGTTACGCTAGATCCAGTAATTTCAAGAATGGTCCTCTTAGCAACAGCAATTGCTTCACTAACGGTTTTGCTGGAACTAGAAAAGGAGCGCATGATCAGTCCCGGGTAACCTTCCCCCCTTTCTGACGCCCTCAAACTTTTTTCCGTGTTTGGAGATCATAAGGGCTGGTGGCCATTCGTTATTTTAAAGAAGAAAAAATATTTTAGACACAAAAAAAATCAAAATGTGGTAAAAGCTGAACGGAGAAAGTTAAGTGCACTCGAGAAATGCAGACACCAACATTTCAAAACAATTTAGCACTTAGATCTCACTCTATTCGATACAAAGGGACTTCAGCAGGCTTACCTTTCTCCATTAGCCCGTTAACAGCTGACTTTTAAATCTCTCAAAAACTATTGACATATTATAATACCTATCCCTGTGAATAATAATACCATGTAAAGTACATCAGCTGGCAAACACTCAATATTTAAATGTTAAATATAACACAGTAGTTTGTTCCCAATGGAGAATTTTTGTATCATCCATGGAGATAATTTCTGTTCAGACAAACTGGGATGAACATTAACAAATGACCCCGTGAGAAGTCTGAAAAGCTACCCCCGAGAGAGGCTAAGATCAACTCCAAGGCCAGACTGGGCGTTTCAATGCACTGCATTGTAGTTAGGCTCAGTATTCACTAGTTCGGGGTTCCACGCTCTGGTTCCACGCTCCAGGTCCCTGCTGGGAAGGAAATGCTGCTTTCACTTAGGAGGGTAGTAGCTTTTGAAGTGCACTCCGTTCATGTGGGATTCGATCCAAGGGAGGTATCTGGTGACCCTGGTGTAGACGCCGGGCTTCCTTTCCTTGGCACAGCCATCTCCCCAGCTGACAATGCCGTAGAGCACCATCCTGTTGTTGGACTCACAGACCAGAGGGCCCCCAGAATCACCCTGATACGGCAAAACCAAGAATGACAGTTACACTCTCCTATGTAGCTATGAATGCGTTCTAGCACCAGTCAGAGACTGGACATGGGATTTATACTCCGCGCTTTACTCAGGGCCTCAGAGTGATCTCCCTTCCCCTCCCCACAACAGACACAACAGAGAGCTCTCTTGAGGACTGCTTTGGAGAGAACAGCTCTGAGACAACTTGTGACTGGCCCAAGGTCACACCAGCAGCTGCATGTGGAGGAGTGGGGAATCAAACCCGGTTCTCCCAGATTAGAGTCCACTGCTCTTAACCAGGACACCAAACTGGCTGCAACCTGAGGGCTCTTTCTACCACCACCCATGAGAAGCTTGGGGTGGAGGAGAGCCCGGCCCTGAAGACCCCAGCTATATGTGCCTTAGGAATATGCCATTCACGTGGCGGTTGCGTTTGCCCAGGAGACAGAAAAAGTGCAGAAAAGGGCAACTCGAATGATCAAAGGGTTGGAACACTTTCCCTATGAGGAAAGGTTAAAGTGCTTGGGGCTCTTTAGCTTGGAGATAAGACGACTGAGGGGTGACATGATTGAGGTTTATAAGATTATGCATGGGAAAGAGCAGGTAGAGAAAGAGGTACTTTTCTCCCTTTCTCACAATACAAGAACTCGTGGGCACTCCATGAAACCGCTGAGCGGTCGGGTTAGAACGGATAAAAGGAAGTCCTTCTTCACCCAAAGAGTGATGAACACATGGAATTCACTGCCACAGGAGGTGGTGGCGGCTACAAGCATGGACAGCTTCAAAAGGGAATTAGATAAGCATATGGAGCAGAGGTCCATCAGTGGCCCCTATTAGCCACAAGGTATAGATAGGGACTCTGGGGCAAGAGATGCTCTGTCTTCTTGGTGGTTGAGGGGGGGGAAGAGTGGAAGGGGTTCTGGTGTCCTGGCCCCACTGGTGGACCTCCAGGTAGTTTTGGTATTTCTGGCCACTGTGGGATACAGAGTGTTGGACTGGATGGGCCTTTGGCCTGATCCAACATTGGCGTCTCTTATGTTCTTATGTTAAGAGCAGAGGTCCATCAGTGGTTATTACCCAGAAGGTATAGATAAGAACTCTCAGACTGGGGCAAGGGATGCTCTGTCTTCTTGGTGCTTGGGGGGGGGGGTCAACAGTGGGAGGGCTTCCAATGTCCTGGCCCCACTGGTGGACCTCCTGATGGCACCTGGTATTTCTGGCCACTGTGTGACACAGAGTGTTGGACTGGAGGGGCCTTTGGCCTGATCCAACATTGGCGTCTCTTATGTTCTTAACTTAGAAGTGACTCCTCAGCCCGACTTACTTGGCATGCATCCGTCTTCCAGCGTGGGTCTCCAGCACAGAACATGTTGCCGTTCAGACCGCGATTGTGATAGTATTCATCCCGGCACACAGACTGGGATATCAGATTCACATTGGTAGATTTCAGAATTCTTGCATACATAATATCACCTGCAGGCAACAGACATGGCATCCGATTAGGAGGACTTTCCCCAGGGAAGTCTAATGCGATCAGCTTTCCCGATAGCAAAGCCCATGGATGACTTTCAAGGCTTGGGGGGTCTTGCTGTGGGTTTATTTAAAATATCTACACCGTAGTCCCTGGGGCCAATATTATGCTTTCAGGAGCGAAGTTTTCAGACAAATCATACAAGCCAAGTTTTCAAAATGTAGACACTTGTTTGTTGCCGGCACAGGTCCCCGAGGAGCCAATCCTGGCCCAGCGACTGGACTTTAGCAATGCTGGGCACCACTCAGACGTACCATGCAAGAAAGGAAAGAGAGTTCACTTACTGCTGTTCGCTTTCCCGTAGCCAGAAACTTCGCACCGGAAATTGTCATTCAGTACTAGGTTTTCAGGCGGCAAACAAACGGTTTTGATAGAGTTCGACTCTTCTGCACACTGTCCTGAAGACGATCTGATCTTCAGAAGGGCTAAAGCAGGAGCAAGGAGTTGATTTTATCAATACAACCTTCAGCCACCGACTTTGATTAAAAGCAAAGATGTCTAAGTTTATAGGTACTTCCCATTGCTCCTCTAGATCATTTAGCTTTCACATCTTACCAGGGCGTTTTTTTCTGGAAAAAGAGGAGCCGAAACTCTCAAGAGGAAAATGAAGTTTTCAATCTGTATACTAACAACTCATGAACTTTTAAACATTTTTAAAAGAATTTTGTTGAAGAGGTTCTGGAACTACATCCCGGCTCGTTTCCCCAGGAAAAAAGCCCCGCATATTACTGTTGTGTTCATACAAACACAATTGTTCTTTGATGCTTGTGACACTTGCTTCTTACTTCTCTCTCGCTTTGCTGTTACTCTCCCCCCCCCCCCAAAGCCTGGGAAAGAATGCACTGTGCCACTGGGCATTAGGTATGTGCATTCGGTTCGTCCGAACCGAATGCACCCCCGAAAATGGCCCATTCTGACCCCTTTCAGGCTGCTGCAGGCCGATTCAGGCTTGCCCCCGAATTTCGGCAGCAATTCGGCCCCATTAGATCCTATGGGCCATTGAACATAGGGTATATTCTGGGGGCTGGAGGGGAGGGGGTTTGAGGGAGAGGCTCCAAATTCACAGGGTAGCTGCTGGAGCCTCTCCCCAAGATACCAACCAAGTTTGAAGAACATTGGGCCAGAGGGTCCAATTCTACAGGCCCCCAAACAGGTTGCCCCTATCCCCTCCATTGTTCTCTATGGTGGGAAAAAGTAACTTTTCCCCCCACCATAGAGAACAATGAAGGAGATAGGGGCAACCTGCTTGAGGGCCCGTAGAATTGGACCCCCTGGTCCAATGCTCTTGATTGGTGTCTTGGGGAGAGGCTCCAGAAGCTACCCTGCGAGTTTGGAGTCTCTCCCTCAAGCCCCCTCTCCTCAAGTCCCCAGAATATACCCTATGTTTTCGCCATTGACTTCAATGGCCCATAGGATATAATGGGGCTGAAATTGACATTCGGCTGGCGGAAAGACTCTTGAATAGGCTGGTACTGATGAAACTGACATGCCGGAGTCTTACCGCCAGCCGAAATTGATTCTGCCCGATTCGGCGGAATCCGAATGGGCCAATTTTTTTTTTTTTTGCACACCCCTGCTGGGCACATAGGAAACGTGTAATTAAACTGGAACTTCTTCAGTGGTCTCCTATAGAACTCTTTCTGCTTAAACATGGCCCTGTTTCTACAAAAAACATGTGAAATATGCCAGTGACTGGAAAGGAAACTTGGGGCATCACCTTACCAATGTCATTGTCAAGATTTTGAGATTCTTCTGAAAATCCCTCATGCGGGACAACACTTTCAACCTCAAATCTTTGTTCATTCGCTTCATCAGTGGTCAGCGAGGTCTTTCCAAGAACGACTGTGAACTGGGATGGGTCGGGACTCCTGAAGAGAGCAAAAGGCACACAGCCCTGAATTTCAGCAAGATTTCTAAAGCAGTATTTTCATGAAACAGTTTCCCACGGCCCTTCCGTCACTTTTACTTTGTTCTCTGATTTATGGAATAGTTTGTGTTGCTTCACCATTATAAAATATACATCATTTTATATATATTATACTGGTCAATATTTTTATTAAACAAATAATACTTGTTAGTTGTTGTAGATTTTCTGGGCTGTGTGGCCGTGGTCTTGGCATTGTGGGAGCGGACGTTTCGCCAGCAGCTGTGACTGGCATTTATTTTTAAACTCCTTTCCTGTTGAAATTGTGTTTATGTTTATGAATTTCAATGGCTTCCCTGTGTCACCTGACATGGTAATTGGATGTGTTGTCCAACCTTTTAGTGGCTTGGAATAAGATACTGTGTCCTCTTTGAGTTAGGCTATGTTCCGCCATGGCTGATTTTTCAGGTTGGCCAAGTCTTTCATGTTCAACAGGAAAGAAGCGAGTTTAAAAATAAATAGGGCATGGTTTCTTGTCCTGAAAAACACAAAATGTTCTACATCTTACAATAGCACTACAGATAAGATTAGAATTTCAACAGCCAGCCCATATGCAAAAGAACCTCCTCAGGAAAGCTCCTCCATTAGCATGTCACAGCCTGGGAAACTCAGCCCTACCCCCACCTTCCTGAGTAGATATAAAGTATCTGCCTACCATTTTTCTTCTTCTCACCTTGACACAGAGAGCACTCCATCTTTCTGTGTTATACCTCTGAGGATGCCAGTCAGTTGCTGGTGAAGTGTCAGGTCCTACAATGCCAAGACCACGGCCATACAGCCCGGAAAACCTACAACAACTAATGAACTCCAGCCGTGAAAGCCTTCGACAAAATAATATTTGGCATTTATATAGTGCTTTCAGCACTTCGCACACAAATCAACTTGTAGTCCTTACAATAGTCCCGCATAGCGGGTGAACTGTGCAGTGGTTAGGGTGTTGACTCTGACTGGGGAGATCACGGATTCAAATCTCCTGTCTGTCAAGAAGCTGACTGGGTGCCCTTGAGTCACTGGGAGACCTCAGACAGTTGTTGTGGAAATAAAATGGAGGACAAGAGAACCAGGTATGTTCTTTGTGAGCTCCCCAGTGGGAGGGCAGTGTCAGGTTCCTTAGCCAGGTCACACCACACACAAGGCTTTATAAGAAGATAAGTGCTTTATCAGTAGTCCATTACTAAAGAACGAGTATACAGCTTGTGTCAGGAATGACCTACAATATGATGAACCCCTGTCTTATAGTGTAATCAAACTCCCCCCCCCCCCAAAGAGCTAAAGCCAATGAGTATATTTCGTGCGCGTGGGCTGCAAGAAGCAAGCAAGTGGCTGAGCGCCTAAGCCGTTAACTTTCCCAGGCAAGTTAATTTGCAGCTGGAGAACGACAACAAGGTCAGGCCAGAGATAGCAGCCAGAAGCTAGACAGGGAAGAGCTGGGAACGAGGAGGAGGCGGTGCACCCCTCCACATTCCGGTTCTATGACAGGACTACCTGACAGGCAGGGCCCAAGAGTAACAGGAGAAATGTCAGTATTATTGTCCTCATATTGCTGAGCTTTGGGATGCCGAGGCTGTGAGACTGAGGGCCTCGTGAAGCCCAACTTGTGAGTTTGTGGCTGGCATTTTGGGACCTGCGACCGCCCAGATCACGGTGTGTTTTCATAGCTGCTGGCCTCCTTGAGTCTGGTTAGCAGAGGTGGGGGTGGGGGGTGGGGTTTGGATCCGGCCTCCTCCAAGGACCCTTCCTCCCACTTAAGGAGACTCCCTCCCGCTCCAGTGGCCCTTCCCCTGATGGGAGGCATTTTGCCTTCTGCCTCAAGCAGATTTCAGGAGCAGCAGCAGATTAAGTTTTCTAAACAAATAACATTTGAGAACCACTGGGTTAGACTGATTAAGAACCTTCCTGTTGATTTGATTTGATTTGAAAGGCGCCCTTAACATAGCAGCAATTTTGTTTTAAGAAATCCTGACAGTTTTAACGCAAGTATTTCCCCCCCAAACCCCACAGTGGGCACAATCATCTTAGAAGAGGCACCCCCCCTTCTTTCTCATCTTCTAGAACGGGGAAGAAGAAGAAGAAGAGATTGGATTTATACGCCACCCTTCACTACCCAAGGGAGTCTCAGAGCAGCTTACAATCTCCTTTCCCTTCCCCTCCCCACAACAGACACCCTGAGAGGTAGGCGGGGCTGAGAGAGCTCTGATGAGAGAACGGCTCTTTTTCAAGAACAGCTCTTCTCAGAGCTACGGCTTGCCCAAGGTCATCCAGCCAGGTGCAAGTGGAGGAGGAGTGGGGAATCGAACCCGGTTCTCCCAGATTAGAGTCCGCACACTTAACCATGACACCAAACTGGCACACTTAACCACTACACCAAACTGGGGGTCCTCAGCGTGGAGTGTGTGGGCACCTGCCAAGTGGTTTTTGAAAGTGGTGGGTGCCAGGTGGGCTTTTGCCCAGCGAGGCTTCTGACTGGCTGTGCAGATTTGTCAAAAAAAAAAGTTGCTTTAGTAGCCGCTTGGCCACCCCAGCACAAGGATCTAAAGGTCAGCTGCAGCCAGGGCCGGCTCTATCACTAGGCCAGCTAGTATCTGGCCTAGAGCGCACTGGCCCTCAGGGGCGCCAAACTGTGCCCTGCCCCCCCCGCAAGCCGTCGGCGCCAGCAGTCAAGATGGAGCCAGGCCGGGGCTTCAAGGGGGCGGCCCTGACGCGCCTAGCCACCGGCACGTCAGGTAGCAGCTGGTGATTTGCTGGGCAAGCCGAACTGCCCGGCCGGTGATGCCGACTGCCCTGCAGCCCGCTCGGTGAGTGGCCTCGCGCTCCCCAAGGGCGAGAGAGATGCGGGAGAGGAGAGGGGCGCTGGCGGGGGTCTCCTGGGAGGGTTGGCTCCAGCCGCGCTCAGCTGCTGCGCTGCCCGGGAGCGTCGCCTTTTGTGCGCCAGCTTAGCTGGCGGGGGGAGGTGACAAAGAGTCGCGGAGGAGAGGAGGCGCCAGCCAGGAGCTTGGCGGCAACTCTGGGCCAGAAGCGGCGGAGACAAATGGGGAAGGGTGGATATTTTTGAGGGGGAAACAGGGATTTCGCTCGGTAGCGCGGCGGACAGCTCCCCCCATCCCTGCCAGCGCGCGTGGCGCACCTCCTCCAAAACGAAGAGTTTTTTTGGGACCAACCAAACGCCCCCCCCCAAAGTTCTCCGTCTGAGTTCAGGGTCCACTGCCTGACTCCCGCGGAAGCGTGTGCGGGCTTCTGCACGGCAGCTTGTGGAGTTGGGGGGGTGCGTGTGCCTCTCTTCCTCCCTCCCTCCGGTGGAGGGGCTTCGCTTCCCCTTTCTTCGGGTCCCCCCAAAGCTCTGCCCCGAACCTGGGCGCTGCACGTGATGAATCGAGGCCTCTCTCGCTCTCTCCCCAGGCACGGGAGCGGCGCTTTCCTTCAGGCTGGGCTTGGGTGACGACGAGCAGCAGGAGAAGAAGCCCAAGAGCCGTGTGTGCGTGTGTGGGGGGAGACAAGGGTGTAGACTTTCCAATTTCGGGGGGGGGGGCGGTCAGGGGTTGAGACATTTCCTGCCGGGCGCACGAATTTCCGACTTGGAAGGACAGACCCTCCCCTCCTCTCTCTGTCCGCAAAATGTGTGTGTTTTTCTGCAGCTCCCGAAAGCAGTGTTCCCTCTAACCTGAGTGAGTGTGTGCTGGCTCACAGTTTTTTAGCCTCCAGCTCACACATTTTTGTCTCGACTCAGGAAGGGACGGCTCCAGAGCAAACTGATTTATGTGGCGGCAGAGGGGGGCGGGGACTCATCGGGATCCTTTTCTCCAGGTCCCGCCTGGAGGTTGGCAACCCCCGTAATTGGTGGACGAACGGGCGGGGGGGGCGCCAGAAGGTAGCCCCGCCTAGGGCACAAAAACGCCTGGAGCCGGCCCTGGCTGCAGCCGCCATTTTGTAGCTGGTCCCACCTCCTGCAGCTGCCATTTTTGTAGAAGCCATTTGGTGGCTGTGCCCACCACACTGAGCCCGAATTCCAAAGGGCCCTGCAGGCTGAAAAATGTTGGTGGGACCCCTGTTCTAGAAGGCGCCTGTTCCTACACATACATGCAGCCAGCTAAAAAAAAAGTAAAAGCTAAAGGTAAAGGTTCCCTTGCTCGAAAGCCAGTCGAGTTCGACTCTAGGGTTGCGGTGCTCATCTCCATTTCAAAGCCGAAGAGCCAGCGCTGTCCAAAGACGTTTCCGTGGTCATGTGGCCGGCATGACTAAACACCAAGGTGCACAGAACGCTGTTACCTTCCCTCCAAAGTGGTACCTATTTATCTACTTGCAATGTCTTGCTTTCGAACTGCTAGGCTGGCAGGAGCTGGAACTAGGGAGCTCCCTCCGTCATGCGGTACCCGGTTCTCGAACTGCTGAACTACTGACCTTCCACAGTCTGCAGTTCAGCGTCTTAACCACTTGAGCCACCGCAGCTCCAAAAAGAAAGTAAGCATATTTTTATTCCTTAGGAAAGATCGAGTTATTCATACTCTTTTTATCCATATGTAAATGCTACTGGAAAAATCATGTATTTAATTTATTCAGATTCCTTTATAGCTATGCCTTTATTGCTATGGATCGGGGCAGTTCCCGAGGGAGGAAAAGCTGCCATTCTAAACAAACATTTGTACGTTTTCAACCATTCAAGTCAAGAAAAAGTTGTATTTATGCCAAAAGCAACTGATAACAACATGAAAAGTGACTTATCCCAGACCTTCCTGAGGCACACTTTCAGAGGGGAGCCATGTTGGGCTTTGACTCTAGAAAGCTGTAGCATTTCTGTTTCTCTTTCCCACCTGCTGACTCCACCGCTCCTCTCCACAGTCGGCTCACCAGAGTTTCAAAGACAAAGGAAATCACCCCACAACTCGGAGACCCTTTCCTCGGCAAGTCATGTGCCGTGGCCAGGGTTACGCTGCAGGCAGTGATGCACACACAAGGAAAACGCACAGGCCTGTTTCAGCCACATGTGCTGTGCATCCCAATTATTATCACTTACTCCGGTGCCGCATGACGGAGTGAGCTCCCATCTCTAGTTCCAGCTCCTGCCAACCTAGCAGTTCGAAAGCAAGACATTGCAAGTAGATAAATAGGTACCGCTTCGGTGGGAAGGTCACAGCGTTCTGTGCACTGTGGTGTTTAGTCATGCCGGCCACATGACCATGGAAACGTCTTCGGACAACGCTGGCTCTTCGGCTGTGAAACGGAGATGAGCACCGCAACCCTAGAGTCGGACTCGACTGGCTTTCGAGCAAGGGAACCTTTTACTCCGGTGCAGTTCCAAGTTTGTTTTTTTTAAAAAAGCCCTGCTCTGGATGTTGACCAAAAGTTGAGAAAATGGACACATCCGAAGTGGTGTGAAAGAGATGCTTACCTTCCCTTGAAACAGTGAGCCGCCGTAGCAACCCAGCAAGGATCAATGAGCGTTCCGCCGCATAAAAACCTTTGTGCGGAATTTCTCTTCATGTACTGGAAGATGGTGGCTATCCAGGGCTGAGATTCGATTTCTGCCTTCTGCCCACCCACAATCTTGAAGTACTTGCTAAAGCTCCTCTGGCCACACGTGGCTCCTGGTGGGGGGAAAGGGAAGACGTTCAGGTGGAGGGGCTGTTTCCAGAACTAGGCAAGAAAGACCCTGCTCTGGTCGCTTCACAATCCCAAAAACACTTCTAGGTTCACAGCAGTAGGAAGAGCCCCGTACCCCAAACCCTCTTCAGTTGTGGCTGACCCTCGTGGACTTCTAAGCTAAACCCGAGGGCTGAGGCTCATCCGACACACTCAGGAAATCACTTCCTGGACTGTACCTCTTGGGGTCCTCTGCTTTGTAAATGGTAAATTTGTACATTGGACAATTATGCTTCTTCACTCAAAGATGAGGTCCTTTTATGGAACAGGATAAAGCCGGGCAAAAATGTAAAATCAGGCATACTGACATGACTATAGACATACATTTAATACCAGGAAACCCAAGGTTCTTTTAAACACGGTTATTACAGCTGTATAGATTTTCTCTATATAAATGTTTTGTGATGTTTCTACTCACAAAAATGAGGCTTAGGCTAAATTCGTTGCGCCTAAAATACTGCCTGGCTGTAGACCAAGTATTCTGATACCATGCAGGAGTCCCCAGCCTTTCTGAGCCCACTGGCACCTTTTGAATTGGTGGGGGGGGCAGCCACAAAATCGGTGCTGTAAGAGGCAGAGCCGGCCATGCGACGGCCGCCACGCCCCACCTTCAGACAGTGAAGATCCTTGAGCTGCGGTGGCTGGAGCCACGTTTTTAAAAATCCGCACAGCCCATCGGATCCCCAGTGGCCAATTGGAAGGCTTGCTGGGCAGAAGCCCCCCCTCCCCCCAACCCCCTTTCTACAAACACTGAGTGGGGGCACCAGGAGAGGTGTTGCGATGGCACCCGTGGGTACCGTGCTGGGAATCCCTAACAAAACGGATATTCAGAAGGGGACCACCTCATTGGGCACAGACCAAAAACACCGTCTGGGAAGGACAGGGAGAGGGCCGCGGCTGTGTGGCCCGCAGAAGGTCCCGGGCTCAATCCCTGGCCGCATCTCTGGCTGAAAGGACAAGGCAGCAGGTGCCGTGGAAGACCTCCGCCTGAGACCACGGAGAGCTGCTGCCAGTCTGAGCAGATTATATGAACTCTGATGGGCCCGTGTGTGTGTGTGTGTCTGATTCAGCAGGGTGTGTTGAGGGGTTCACATGAACCATGCCATGTGATTAGCAGCACTACTTTGCAGTCAGGACATACATTGCAAATAAAGTGCATGTACATTCGTTTCCCTTGCGCGGCTAGATCACAGGACTGTGTCGTTCTTGGAACAGATTTTGGATTTCTTTAGTCCTGCCTTGAGTTTGAGATTCATAATATCTGCCACTTGAAGAAGTAAGACATCACTTACGTTTGTGACAGTCTGCTATGTCACAGAAGGTGGAAAAGGTTCGGTACCCCCTCCTAACGTAACACCACGGTTTATCCCGGCCATCTGGATTTCTGTAAAACAGTAAAGCGATGTTTGTACGGATCCTTGCTAGTACTAGAACCCACCGACAGAGGGCTGTCAAGTTCCTTTCATCAACAACAGAACATCATCGAAGATGCTTAGGCCATCCACCAGTTCAGTAACAATTCTTGTTACGTACAACCAAACGCCTCGCAGAAACACAGGCGAAGGAGAACAGGACTCCAGCAGTATTTTTAATAGCTGTCGAACAGACGGACTTCAGCAGGTGCCTCAGCCCACATTCTGTCTCTTGCACAATTTTTAAAAGTATAGATGCCCCATCCCTAAGTTGTCCCGTGGTGCCAAGTGGCAGCATGATGGTAAAACCATAAGAACCACAAAGATCTGGAGAATTCCTAGAGAATCACGATGTGACTTCTGGGTACAACTGGAAGTGACATCATGACACGGAGGGACGTTGGTCCTTGTCCCCCTATTTTTGCTCCTGGGTGTCGGGTGTTACAAGTCAAAACACTTCAGTATTTACAGGGTTAATGATGTTTGTTAAGTCACATGTTTGTTTGTAACCAATCTTGGCCCAACTTTTAGCTGACCCCTATACACCAGAGTGGTCACAAGCCATAGTGAAAAAGGTGGGTACCCTAGGTATTGATCTGGAACCCCTCTATAACTGTGGTGAGGTAGCAATCTTGCAGGTGGTTAGGAGGAGAATTTGGGATATAGAGGCGCAGACCATTAATGCCGGTAGTCTTGGAGTTTGTTCTCCCTATTCATTACCCCTCCTCCCCTTGCATACCTCCATGCTACTACCGTATATCGCTAATCTGACAATCCCAGTTTTTGGGAGGGTTTTTATGCTTGCAAGGTTCAACCTTTTCCCCTCAGTAGTGGTCTCCGGTAGATACAGGGGTGTTCCGTACAAGGATAGACTTTGTAACTGCAATCTTGGGGAACCTGATTCTATCACCCATATTCTCTTTCGTTGTCCTAAATATTTCGCTATGCGCAATGTTTTGATCCGCCTGCTTCTCCCTTTGCAGAGAGATTTTCTGGATAGGGATTTAAATTTCTTTCTAGCAGACAAGAGTCCAGCAATAACACTATCTGTCGCTGAATTTTTGACTTATGTATGGAAGTCAAGAGTAGTACTTTGTAAATCTTGTAAACCATGTTAGGATTGCTTTGTATTTTGAGATATTGGGAATATTGGTTGACGTTGTTTTAGTACTACCCCTTAAGTTTTTCCTTTGTTCTGGTTTATCTGTGTTATGCCAATAGAGGTTTTCTGTTCTGTCTGTAACCAATCTGTTTAGACAATAGAATGCCTGGGAACTTTGGAGCTAGTTTGCTAGTCTGATTGGAAACCAAGGTGTCAAGCATTTAGCATATTGGTTTTCTCCTCCTGTTCTTTGTTCTGACCAGAGAAGGAGACACCATTAGGCTCTTCCCGTTTTACCTTTAGCTTTAAGGATGTAGACATATTAGCTCTTTGTTATTTTTCATATCCTGTGTACCTTTTTCCCATGTTAGGTTTATAGTAAACTTTTATATTAATAATACACGCCATGGACTCAGTCTCTTAATACTCTGCTGACTTACTCAAAAGAAATCCCAACATTGGGACAAAAAGCCCTGGTGGGGTTTGAAGCCTGGGCGTGGAAGTTTGGCCACTGCCCCCGGACAAATGGCAACCCTGTTTGTCCCCATCAGTATCCTAAAAGCAGAGGTCATTTCGGGGGGGATCGCAGTGCCCCCGGGTATGGGGGGCGGGGCACATGACGAAGCCCCGCCCCCTGCTTCCGGCCGCCCTGCTTCCGGCCCTCATTCAGCCAGGAGGAGGCAGGAGAAGAGGGAGGGTATTCAGCAGTGGAGCTGCAAGGCCAGCAGCGGCGTCCGAGACCGTTGGGGGCGGGGTGTGTGGCCTTATGACACACTCCCTGTGATGTCAGGGGGTGTGGCCTTATGACACACTTCCGGTGATGTCAGGGGGTGTGGCATATGCTAATGAGTTATGCTAATGAGTTCCCCTAGCTCTTTTTCTACGAAACGACCCCTGCCTAAAAGCACTAAATTATGTCCTTAGTAACCTCTGTGAGAGTGGAAGGGACGAGTCCCCTTGTGATTCTGAGAGTGACCCATGAGACGGCCTTGGAAGAGCCAGCCAGCTGTCCTCCGGACTGCCCTTCTCAGCTAAGGTCCTCGGAGAAGGGGAGAGGCTGCTGGGACCCATGCCGCTCAAGGCACCCCAGAGGAACTACCAGCACAGTCACACAGCCAGCCGTCTGTTTTGATCCGGTACCTGCAGTAGTTGTGCTTGCCTAGCCCGAGCTCCATGGCGCCTTCCATGCCACTGTTGTACGGCCACCTCTTCAGCAGAGGGGAGTCCCAGTTCAGGCACCGCTCGTTCAGGTCGTTCACCGACTTGGTCCCTCTGTAGTCCTCCCCATTGCCCGTGTAACACTGACTTTCGGCATCTGAGGACAAAGGTGAAGGCCACAGTCAGTCCCGGTTGACAACTGTGAATTTGGCTGCTTCCGCAAGGATATTTTGTTCTACGTTATCCCCCAACCATGATGGTGTGAAAGGTTTCCACTTAACATTGTCATGGGGTCATCCACCTTCTGGGGTTCCCCATGGCTTCATTGCATCTTTCCCCCAGTCCTGCTTTGGTACGAACTTTCCAGACAGATCATACTCAGAGGGGGTTTGCGATCCATGGGGTTGGGAACATGCACATTCCTGCATCTCCCTGCTCACATCCAACATCATTTGCTTCCCTTCCCCTGCCACCAGCAGGTGGCTGCTGCTTCTTCTTTTTTTAAAAAAACCCGGTAGCAACTCTATTGCTTTAGGGGCGGGGGGGGGGATAACAGTAGGCAAACCTGCTTGGAACGGCCCCCTTGAACTCAGAGAGGCTTCTGCTTAAGTAGATTTGCATTGGGTCATATCCTGGCATTGGATCGCAATTAACTTTTTTTAAAATGTTTTTTTTATTTTTTTCAATTTTTAACAATTCTAACACTTCAAACAGTGAACAATTTATCTTCCAATTACATTCACATCCTGTAAATAGTTCCTGAGTATGTACAACGTTATAACATGTTCAAAGAATTACAATACATTACTCATCACACTTCCGAATATGTTTTCAGTAGAAAGATAACAGACTTGGCGTAAACTTAATAGTAACATTAGGAAGCAATCTGAACTATTGGAGCGGTAAGAAAGAGAAGAAAGAAAAGGAAACTTCTATTATCAACTTACAATAACAATTACTTCATATCATTCGACCATTTGGAAGATTTAATGTGAAATATTAGAGCTAGTGGAGAAGAAATAAGTAAATAAGAATGAGATTTTGCGGAACTAGTCATTACATTAATCTTATATCCATTTGTGGTATTGAGACCACAACTTTTGAAATGGCATTACTGGACCAGGTAGCCCACATCAGCGCATAAAACCAGTATGCCAAGAAGAATGCTAGTTCCGAGCAGTCGGGTGAAATGTAAATGGTTGACAAGCACCATACCTATTTCGCAGTGGTCTCCACTGTACCCTGGGGGACACAGGCAGCGTTTGACTCGAGAAAAGAGCTGATAGGAGATGCACGTTCCTCCATGTAAGCACTTGCAGTCTGGAAACAGAGGACACAAACGCACTGTTACATAGCACAACCGTGTACAGCTGCGTGCTCTGCCCCCAAATGTATGGCCCCGTCTCCTAAGGGGCAGGGAGGGGTTGGGACCAGGGAAGCCTTGGGGGAGGATGGGGTGTCGAACCCGCCTCCCTGGGCACCTCTCCCCACCCGATTTCCCACCAGGTCTGTCATGAGCAGTGTTCACGCTAAGCTGAGTTTGTGTGAGCTAGCTCATCGTTTTTTAGCCTCTGGCTCACAGATTTTTGTCTCAGCTCAGGAAGGAGGACTCCAGAGCAGACTAATTGATGCAGGAGCCAAATCACTCGCTCACAACTTTAATGCCAGTGGCTCATATGGTAGAACTTTTGTTAACAAGACTCTACAGCTAAGAGGGAACATTGGTCATGAGTCCTGTAGGTGGGCGGGGGGGGGGGGGCAGTGCCTTGTGCAGCGGCTGCTGGGGAAGCCTCCTTCCCCCTCCCATTTGTCCTTGCTCCAGAGTTGCCTTCTCTGTCCCTAACCTGCTTTTTGTTAAAAGGAGGGATCCTTGTAGTTGTTGCACGTATTCGTCGGGTGACGTGGCCGTCGTTCGCCCTGACCAGGATGGTCCAGGCTGGCCTGATGGGATTTAAAGCCAAGCAGGGCCGGCCTTGGTTAGTCCTTGGATGGGAGACGGCCAAGGACCTCCCGGGTTGCTACGCAGGGCAAGGCGAGGGCCAACCGCCTCTGGAAGTCTCTCGGAAGTCTCCGAGAGGGCCCTTCTGTTGGGTGTTACAACACTTCAGTATTGACAGGGTTAATGCTGTTTGTTAAGTCACATGTTTGTTTGTAACCAATCTGTTTAGACAATAGGATGCCCGGGAACTTTGGAGCTAATTTGCTACTCTGATTGGAAACCAAGGTGTCAAGTATTTTAGCATATTGGTTTCTCCTCCTGTTCTTTGTTCTGACTAGAGAAGGAGACGCCATTCCGGCTCTTCCCGTTTTACCCTTTAGATGTAAGGATGTAGGCGTATAAGCTCTTTGTTATTTTCATATCCTGTGTACCTTTTTCCAATGTTAGGTTTATAGTAAACCTTTTATATTTTAAAACACACCATGGACTCAGTCTCTTAATACTCTGCTGACTTACTCAAAAGGAATCCTAACACCTTCCCACCACCGTAGCTTTTGCTCAAGCAACAACTGAGTCCAGGTAGCAACAGAAGGCGTTCCTGTACCTTGGTGTCCGTATTTAGTTTTGCTCGCCTGCTTATGCGGCTTCTCCCAACGCCGAGCCTAAGAGAGAACAAGAACAGGTGCCCGTTATGCTAAAGGAATCCGACGGGGTGGGATGGTCAGTGTACATACAACAGGTTACGAAAAACGTCCTGGCTGCGTTTGCCTTACAACAGGCGTTTGCCTTACAACAGGCCGATCGTTGTTTCCATTCTGCAAGTCGGGGAAATGACCCACGGGACCTTGAGGGGGAGTCGTCCAGGGAGAGGACGGGGTGAGCTGCAAGATGATGTCCAGCCTGAATCCAACCCCCCCCCCCCCGTCAACTGGACCGCAACGTGACAGAACAGGAGTCTTCAAGACCCTGCTGCAGTCTTTAGGCTGTGAGTACGACTGCGTCAAAAGGGCGAGGATTACAATTATTCTGCATTCTAAATCAGAACTTTCCCCTCTTTGGGATCAAAGGGATGGCATCGGATCGACGGCGCATGGCATCCAAGAGCCAGGGTCCCCAGCCCCACTTCGCCGGTGTCCGTATAGGGTGGCATTTGAGGGTGGTGTGGTGTCACCGCTGGCTGAGACGCCAGGCTGCCTCCCCTAGACTCTACACCATGCTTGGGTAAGTTCCGAGAGTGTCACTGCGTGGAGGCCATTTTGTCCCCCCTGCTCCTCAGTCCCCTGGGGAGAGGAAACTAGGGCCAAGGGCTGCTCATTCCCCACCCCCAGGGGAAACGGGAGGCCCGCTAAGTGTGTGGCTGCAAAGCACAGCTGAGCTCATCTGCAGATGCTAGCCACGGCATCCATCTTCATGGTCATTTAGACGTTGTGGTGGTCCTGGTGGAGAAGGAAGCCCTGGCAGCGGTTGGCTGCACTGCCCGAATGTCAGGGCAAACACACCAGTCTCTGACGTGCACATGGAGCAGCCCCCCCCCCCCCCCCCAAAGGAGAGGGCCCGAGCCTGGAAAGGCAGCAAGCGGTGTGTGTGTGTGTGTGTGTGTGTGTGTGTAGAATGGGGAGAATTAGGGAAGGGGGCTGAACTGGGGGAACAGTTGAGGTCAAGGGGGCTGAAGAGGATAAAGGCAGTGAGAGAAGTCTGACGGGGCAAATGGGAGAGAGCGAAAGGGAGGCCGAAGCCCACGGGTTTCTGGGTGCAAGTTTAGATTCACATTTATTTTTAAGGAGATAAGGACAGAGGGTGCCAAAATGGGCTTGGTCCCCTGACGAAAAGAGGAAGCTTGGAACTTCTGGTCAAAAATGGAAACAAGTACAAACATGGAAGTAATGCTTGGGAGCCTGTGCGGGTTGCGTCACTTACGGATGCCAGGTCTGCGAGGAGGAGAGCGCTCAGCAGTATGGAGGTGACGAAGAGCCACTTCATGGTGTTGGGAAAGAGGTTCCGATTTTCACGGGACTGGCCGTTCACGTCTCCGCTTCCTCTTTCTGTGATTTCTGAAAGCAAAAGAGTGACTTCAGCCGGCGTGTCACTTGGGGTGTTTTGCTGGTGGTTTCTTTTTTCCCCCAGTCCCTTGAATCTCCTCACAGTTTGGGGGAGGGAGGCGAAGCTGCTTTACTCTCCCGCCTCCGTCCTGAACTTCAACAGGAACCAGATGTGGGACTTCAGCCTGGGAGACCCACCCACAGGGGTCTGCGTGCAGCCTCTCCTGGGAGAGGCCAAGGCCCCCCCCTGTCCCCTCCCCCCCACCGTCACCACCTGGTCTGTGGCAGGATCCTACCCCCAAGGAGAGAATATCCACCACGGGGCTGGGCTTGCCACAAAGTGGAGGGTGGTCTGCCGGAGGCAGGATTGTCTGCAGGGACTGTCACCTCTGGCAGAAAAAGATTTCTGTTGCATTAATAAAACTTGTTAGACCAACAACGGTGATAGGATCATATACATGTCCGTATTATCTTGCCTAAAACTGCTGCCTGTTGGCAATTACGATTGGGGGAAAACATACACGCACGAAGGAGGGGTTGTTTCCCTGCCCATAAGAAGGAATCTTGCTGTTTGTAAAATTTCCTCCAGAATTCTGGTATTTTGTAAGTAAGAATGGTGCACTTTTTGCCTGTGTTCCAGCAGCCCTCCCCTGGGTCTGAGTTCTAAACGGCTTCCCCTCCACTCCACCAAGGGCGGAGCCTCCCGGAAGCACCAGGAGTTTTCCTCTGCAGGAGAGGCCAGGAATGGAGGGTTAAGTGCCAAGACCAGGGATACGACTGAACTCCGTGGATGCTCTTGAGCTGACAGGGGTCTGAAAGGGTCCCAGGGCTCTCTGTGGACGGTCCTTCCCCCAGGGTGTGGGTTTTGGAGTGTGGGGTCAGACAAGAGGACAGCAGAGTCCTCAGAGAGGCTGAAGAGACCCTTTAGAGGCCCCGTAAGGATCTTCTAAGAGACCCTCCTGGCCACTTTCCCCACTGGCAAATGGTTTCCCCTGCGGCTGGCAGTTGAGGATTTGGCACTCGGGTTTCAAAGTGTCCATGCAAAACTGACGGAAGTCATCCTTTGAGGCCTGGGGGGGTTCTTCAGTCTCTGCGTGAAGCAACACAGACCTGTGTTTCAGGAAGGTGTTGGGACACAAACCGGCACATCCGGTGCCTGTTGCCAAATTAGGCAACCGACAGTCTTGATTCAGGCAGGATTCGGTGGGAGTATCAGAGATGGCTCACGAGACAACTATCAGTTTCAGCACACCTGCGACTTGGTTTTTTTGGCATAGTCAGGTAAAGAGGAAAATGAGAGCATAGAAGAATGAACACAAACGGGCCTGTTATCTCTGCAGCGCTTTGTCGTCCCTTTAAAATAATTGTTTTATTTCCATTCTATATCCACAAGGAAACAGAGTTAGTCCTGAAAATCCACAAGTAACACCCAGACACAGGCCCATAGCTAACGCGGGGCCTGCCCCCCTAGCATTTCTTCTGGGCCCCCTCTCTCCCGGGCCAGTCCGAAATTGAATTAATGTGATTCACTTTGATTTAATTAGCTGACCCCCCCCCAGGCCCCCTCCTCCCAAAATCCCTAGCTATGGGGCTGCCCAGACATCTGCTATAACAAACCACTACATTTCTAGGAAGAACTTTCCACACACGTTATCATATGTCTCTATCTGTTCACATTTAAATCTCAGTCGATATGTCAGTCTAACCACCCTTGAGAAGCCTCTGAGTTTGTGCAAAGTCTCTCATCTTCGAGGGCTTCCTCCCATAGTTGGCAAATGCTAATCACGCAGCAGGAAATGCCCATAATGCAAAATCTTTTCATTTCCCCAGAATTTCTTTTGTCCTTCCCGTCGCCCAAGCCTCGACCTCCTCCTCACAGGCGGGTCAGAAGCCTCCAGTGGCGGGGCCTCAGCCACTGCACACCCCCTCCAGGCAATGATCACTGACACCGCTGGGGGGGGGAGACATATTTCATTTGGGTGATCATAGTAACTCAGACGGCAATTAAGTTGGAAAGAAAAAAGAGATGGGGGGTGCATTAGCCTCAGTTACCCGCCCAGCAAGTTATTTATTGCCATTTACCCCTTTAAAAAAAACCCACCATGACACATGAGCAGATGCCTACGGGATTTAAAAAGAAAACAATCTCAGTGGCTCTCTCGGAGGCTGAGCTCAACAGCCCCTGGCCTGGAGGTAAGCAGCAGCTGTCTCTGCTGCAGATCGGGGGGGGGGGGGGGGGGAAAAAATTAGCTGAATTAGTCTGTTGCAGCAGCCTAGGTAAAAGGTAAAGGTTCCCCTTGCTCGAAAAGTCAGTCGAGTCCGACTCTAGGGTTGCGGTGCTCATCTCTGTTTCAAAGCCGAAGAGCCAGCGCTGTCCGAAGACGTTTCCGTGGTCATGTGGCCGGCAGGACTAAACACCAAGGCGCATGGAACGCTGTTCCCTTCCCACCGAAGCGGTACCTATTTATCTACTTGCAATGTCTTGCTTTTGAACTGCTAGGTTGGCAGGAGAGCAGCAGCCTTCCCCCCCAAAAAAAGACTCCTCTGGCTCCTGAGAGACTCACCCATTTACTGTCTTTGAAGCTTGGCAGGGAGCCCACTTTTGGTTGGATGCATGAAATGGATTCTCATTCAGCAAAATCGATACTGAGTGGGCGGCGGGGGGGGGATGCACACTGTGGATTAAAAGGTGCTGACATGCAGGACGCCTGGCGGGTGACCCCTGAGACGCAGCCCTTCGCTTTCCCTCTGCCTGTTCCCACGCTGACCTTTTCACTCCCAATAAGGCCTTCCTAAAGCAGTGTTGGCATCGGTCTGTCTTGTGCGCGGCCGGCCTGCCACATGCGTGGGAAAGAAGCGGGGGCACACTGACAGCTGTCCGTGGACGGTGGTCCCGTGGTTTCCCAGCCATCTGTGCCACACCGATTTTCTCCTCTCAGCTCCTCAGTCCCGGTGGAGCTCCGAAATGCTGCCCTGGAACGTTTCCCGGAAGCACCAGCCTGGCACCTGATCCTGCCCGCAGTGCAGAGGGATGCAGGCGGGGGCTGAGAGCTGTACGTAAGGGCAGATCAGCCCCCCCCCCCACGGCAAGGCACGAATTGCAGCTAAGCCAAAAACCACAGTTACAGCCTAGTGGAAGTTAAACGGCAGATCCTTCATGCCAGGCTGGGGCTACTTAAGGCCCCGGACGGGGCTTTTTTGCCTGTCTGTGAACAGAAGCTGCAAAAAGCTGAAGGGGAGGCACGGCACACTCTCAGGAGCCCGGCCTCTTAGGTCCTTTGCCCGCGGCTGACGGCTGACGTTCCAGAAGGCACAGCCTGTCTGCTCGGAATCCAATGAAGGCTGATCAAAGGCTGCTGCACCAAAAAAGACAAAACTACCAGCAACTGCATTTCGCTTGGATAGAAACGGAGACGCGAGAACGCCGTCGGGACTGTCCGTGTTTCAACCCCAGCCAACTCCCAACTCTCTCCCCCCCCCCCACAATTGCATGGCTACTTACAGAAACCTTGAAAGAAACCTCAGTTAAATAAAGAAACCTCAGAAAGAAACCTCAGGAGGTGGCAGATCAGATGCTCCTTCGCTGGACGTTTCCAAGCGGAGGCTGGACGACCCTCTTTCGGGTATGCTGCAGGCAATGCTCCCTCTAAGCTGTGGAGTCTTGTGAGCAAAAATTCTACTTTATGAGCAACCAGCATTGAGGCTCTGAGCAAGTGATTTGGCTCCTGCAAAAGTGAGTTTGCTCTGGAGCCCTCATTCCTGAGCTCAGACAAAAATGTGCGAGCCGGAGGCTAAAATACTGTGAGCCAGCTCACGCTAACTCAGCTTAGAGGGAACATTGGAGCCTGTAGGTATGTCGGGCTCTCTTTTGGCTCTGCTCCTGCAGAGTGCAGGGGGTTCGACTAGATGACCTGCAAGGTCCCCTTCCAACTCTCACATTCTATGATACATCTGTGAGCATTAAAAACAAGCCAAACTGCACAGCTACTTAATGGTAAAGGTTCCCTTGCTCGGAAGCCAGTCGAGTCCGACTCTGGGGTTGCGGTGCTCCTCTCCGTTTCCAAGCCGAAGAGCCAGCGCTGTCCAAAGACGTTTCCGTGGTCATGTGGCCGGCATGACTAGACGCCGAGGCGCACGGAACGCTGTTCCCTTCCCACCGAAGTGGTACCTATTGATCTACTTGCAATGTCTTGCTAGGTTGGCAGGATGCCCAGCTACTTACAGAAACCTTAAAAGAAGCCTCGAATGGTTGCAGTCGTGAACATTAGAATGGGATCCCAGTGCCCTGCAGAGCGACGATCATTTGCAACGGCAAACAAACGAGGGATTAAAAAGAAAGGAAAGAAAGGAAGGGAGCGGTGCCTGGGAAGGGCTGGATGTGCGGTCCTGTCGCCCGCTGCTCTCCGGGGCCGCGTTTAAGGCAGCCCGCAAAGTCCCCGGGGCCGGTCCCGGAGCGCGTCTTTGTCTAGAGCCGGCTCTCCTCTTTGGCAGCCAGACCTCTTTGCAAAGAGAGGAGGACGGCGGCGGCGGCGGCGGCTGCGGACAGGGAGGCATCCCCGGGGCTGCTGCAGCCGCCTGGGAGTGGGAAGGACGCTTGGCTCCCCCCTCCGGGCATGCGGCGGCGGCGGCGGGTCCAGACTTCTCCGGGGGGGAGGAGGAGGAGGAGGAGGAGGGCTTCATTTGCCCCCCAGGGAGACTCACCCCAGCGGTGCCGGATTCCGCTCCGCGCCGACTCTTGCGCGCTCCACGCCGCGGGCCCGGGCTGCTCTGCTGGGTGGCGGCAGGGCAGGGCGGCCTCCCCCCTATAAACCCTCCCGCCGAGCGCCGATTGGGCCGCTCCCGCCGGCGGGGCATTCCAGCCCCGTGACACGGCCCAGGCTGCCTGGCTGGAGCCCAGCGCCCAGAGCCCGCCGCCGCAGCTGCCACCACCCTTTGCAGGCAGAAGTCCCTCCGGGCTAGGGGATTTTTGGGGAGGGGGCCGGGTGGGGGCCGCCGGCTAATAAAATCAAAGTTAATTGAGTTAAAGGTACATTGATTAGTGGGACTCCTTCCCCTAAGGCACCACTGCACCCCTGCCAGGTTCCAGGGCAAGTGGAGGGGGGGAATGAATGACCAAGGCACTCATAGCGTTCAGTTTTCTGGCAGGCAAGTCAGAGGCTGTGTTCCCTCTAAGCTGAGTTAGTGTGAGCCAGCTCACAGATTTTTAGCCTCCAGCTCACACATTTTTGTCTTCGCTCAGAAAGGATGGCTCCAGAGCAAAGTAATTTATGCTGCAGCCAGATCACCTGCTCATAGTTTTAATGCCAGGAGCTCACAAAGTAGAATTTTTGCTCACAAGACTCCGCAGCTTAGAGGCAACATTGGTCAGAGGTGGTGAGTTGAGGCACTTTGGGGCCATCCTGGGAGGGAGGGGCCCAGAAGAAATGCTAGGGGGCCGGGCCCCGTCGCCCCACTTTAGCTACGAGCCTGCCAGGGAGGAGGCGGGGCGGGATTCCACCATGCTCGTGCTGTGCGCTTCCCCTGGACAAGGGGGGGGGGCCACAACCAATGCTCCCTCTAAGCTCTGGAGTCTTGTGAGCACAACTTCTCCCTTGTGAGCGACTGGCATTAAAGGGGTGAGCGAGCCATTGGGCTGCTGCATACATAGTTTGCTCTGGAGCCCTCCTTCCTGAGCCAGGACAAAAATGGGTGAGCCAAAGGCTAAAAAACGGTGAGCTGGCTCACACTCAGCTTAGAGGGAACACTGGCTCACAACCAATGCTTCCTCTAAGCCAGTGATGGCGAACCTTTTAGAGGCCGAGTGCCCAAACTGCGACTCAAAACCCACTTATTGATCGCAAAGTGCCAACATGGCAATTTAACCTGAATACGGAGGTTTCACTTTAGAAAAAGCAACCCATCCATTAACTTAAGATGATCCAAACAAAGTAAGGAAAGCAATCCCAAATGCTTTCATTTACTTAAAATTATTTGGCAGAGAATTCGACACTTTAATGATGGTCTGGGCCTGGCTGGGGCGATGGCACACATGCCCACAGGCTGGAGGGCTCTGAGTGCCACCTCTGGCGCCCGTGCCATAGGTTCGCCACCAGCTGTGGAGTCTTGTGAGCAAAAATTCTCCTTTGTGAGCTCCTGGCATTAAAGTGGTGTGCGAGCCATTGGGCTGCTGCATCAATCAGTTTGCTCTGGAGCCCTCCTTCCTGAGCTGAGACAAAAAGGTGTGAGCTGGAGGCTAAGAAACTGAGCTAGCTCACACTCACTCAGCTTAGAGGGAACACTGGTCACAACACCCGGGCTTTTGTGTGCAAGTTGGCCTGGACCTTTATGCAAACTTCTCTGTCTAGTTTGCCAGCAATTCGGATTTTAATCTCCGAACTGTAGAGGTCTGTCTTCTGTTGGGAAAGGAAGTTGTGATCGAGTATTGCAGCACTTTGCCATTCTCTCCTTCTCCGGGCCACCGCATTCAGAATGTTTTTGTTACCCCCTGCTGGGTGAACTTTTGGTAAAGTAGAGAAGAGAGAAGAGAAGAGATTGGATTTCTATCCCACCCTTCACTACCCAAGGGAGTCTCAGAGCGGCTTACAAACTCCTTTCCCTTCCCCTCCCCAGAACAGACACCCTGTGAGGTCGGTGGGGCTGAGAGAGCTCTTGACAGAAACCGCTCCTTTTTCAAGAACAGCTCTTGTCAGAACTATGGCTTGCCCAAGGTCACATCAGCAGGTGCAAGTGGAGGAGTGGGGAATCAAACCCGGTTCTCCCAGATCAGAGTCTGCGCACTTCAGCAAGACACCAAACTGGTAGCGCCCTTGAATGGAAAGGAATGGTTTTATTTGACCGATGAAGAGAAGCCCTTTAAACATGACGAGGCGAGGGTGGGCGCTCTTTCTCAGAAGATTTCAGTGTTTCCGATTTGCTTCGTCAATAGTGTATATGAACAAGCAGGCATTTATCTCTGGCTCGGAGCCCTTGAAGAAAGTGCCTAGAAGAAATATGGAACCGCTCCTAAGCAGCCCCGTAGCTAGGGAGTTTTGGGGGGAGGGGGCCTCGGGGCCCCCACCAGCTAATTTAATGAAAGTACAGTGCAGGTGGTAAGTTGGAGCTTTGGGGGCAGCCTGGTAGGGAGGGGCCCCAGAAGAAACACTAGGGGGCCAGGCCCCGTGGGCCCCATGTTAGCTACGGGCCAGCTCCTAAGTAATAGAACAAATGTAGAGTCCAGTCAGGCACCTTGAAGACCAACCAAGGTGTATTCCATGTGCAAGGCACACTTGGTCAAATACATTGGAAATGTGGCAGGCAAGGTTCAGACTTATAGCCTTGCCCACGAAAGCTCATCCCTTGAATAAGCCTCGGCTGGTCTTCAGGGTGCCTGACTGGACTCTCTGCTTGCTCTCCTGCTTCAGAACAACACGGCTGCCCCACCTGGATCGTTCCTAAGGAAGCCATAGGGCAGAGCCACTGTGCCCTAGCGCCCTGGCCTGGCGCCCAAGCCAGCTGGACCTGGTCAGATTTCAGAAGCAAAGCAGAGAGTCGGTGCTCGGGTGGGGGAGCGCCAGGGGAGTCCGGGGTCCCTGTGCAGAGGCAGGTAATGGGAAACCACCTCCGCGTGTCTCTTGCCTTGGCCTGGATGGCCCAGGATGGCCCAGTCTTGTCAGATCTTGGAAGCTAAGCAAGTCTGGCCTGCTCAGAGGTCGATTCGGGGGGAATCGCGGGGGATCACCATTCCCCCGGGTGAGGTGCGGGGGGCGGGGCACACGACGAAGCCCCGCCCCTGCTTCCGGCCGCCCCGCTTCCGGCCCTCATTCAGCCAGGAGGAGGCAGGAGAAGAGGGAGGATAAGTTGCTTCCTCCCCGCCTCTCCCCACCCCTGCCTGCCTGGGGCCATGGAGGGCCTTGGCGGGGCTTCCTCGCACTCCCGCCGGCCTTGCAGGTCCACCGCTGGTTGAAATAGCACCTTCAAGACTAACAAATAGCACCTTTAAGACTAACCTTTAAGACTAAGACTGAGTGGTGGGTGTGGCCTTATGACACACTTCCGGTGATGTCAGGATGTGTGGCATATGCTAATGAGTTATGCTAATGAGTTCCCCTAGCTCTTTTTCTACGAAACGACCCCTGGGCCTGTTTATTAGTACTTGGGTGGGGGAGCGCCAGGGAAGTCCAGGGTATGCGGAGGCAGGCAGTGGCGAATCACTGCTGGACGTCTCTGGCCTGGAAAACCCCAAGAGGGGTTGCCGTGTTGACTGTGACTTGATGGGGGGGGGAGGTAATGAAAAAGAATGGTCAGCATTAAAATGAACTGAAAATGAAGACAAATGACATTTTTGTGCCTTTCTGCTCTGTGTAGAGGGCCATGCCTTTCACCATGCGATTATCTCAATGCAGAAATAAGGAGGGAGCACCCACTGATAAGTTCTGTGGGATTCGAACCTCCGGCATAACAGCACCCGTGTTTACTCAGAAGTAAGCCTTTGTGGGTTCTGTGGGACTTATTCCCGAGCAGATTTTTATCAACTCTTCATGTGATCAGTTCTGGCAGATCAAAATGGTACCCACCACCAATGTTCCCTCTAAGCTGTGGAGTCTTGTGAGCAAAAATTCTACTATGTGAGCTACTGACATTAAAGTTGTGAGTGAGCGATTTGGCTACTGCATAAATCAGTTTGCTCTGGAGCCATCCTTCCTGAGCTAAGACAAAAATGTGTGAGCCGGAGGCTAAAAAGCTGTGAGCTAGCTCACACTAACTCAGCTTAGAGGGAAAACTGCACCACCACCTGCGTAGGTTACATACTAGGTGGTGCTTTGATGAGCAGTCATTTACATAGCCAGGTACACAACAGTCAAGATGCATCCATTCTAGATTTAACGCTCTGGCCTGATCTCAACAGATCTTGGAAGCTAAGCAGGGTTGGCCCTGGTGAGTCCTTGGATGGGAGACCGCCGAGGGAAGCCAGGCTTCTTACGCAGAGGCAGGCAATGGCAACCCACCCATGAACACCTCCTGCCTTGAAAACGCTACAGAGCTGTCAGGTTAGATACACCTTGGTGGCAAACAAAGAAACCCCTCCACAAAAGACAACACAGGGGCAGTGATTTTACCAGTGATAGTTACTGAAGAACAGGGCCCGCCAATAGTAAATAGTGACAACAAAAACATATGCAAATGGGGGGGGGTATTTTTCCTTCTCTTTCTGGCAAAGCAGACTTTGCCAAGTCCTCCCTCAGCTTTCTTTCCCGATGTCTTGTCAGATCACGGGGGGGGGGGTTTTGGGGGGGGCTGGCTGCTGCGTTCCGCAAAGCAAAAAGGGATTGGGGGGGGGCTGTCTGCTGCTTCTCGAAATGCAAAAGGTGCCCTCAAGCTCAAAAAAAAATTGAGGACACCTGGTCTAAGAATAGAAGAGAAGAAGAAGAAGAGAAGAGATTGGATTTATACCCCGCCCTTCACTTGGAGTCTCAGAGTGGCTTACAAACTCCTTTCCCTTCCCCTCCCCACAACAGACACCCTGTGAGGTGGGTGGGGCTGAGAGAGCTCTGACACAAACTGCTCTTTCAAGGACAGCTGTGCCAGAGCTTGTGACTGACCCAAGGTCACATCAGCAGGTGCAAGTGGAGGAGTGGGGAATCAAACCCGGTTCTCCCAGATTAGAGTCCGTGCACTTAACCACTTAACCACTACACCAAACTGATTACCACGAAAGGGCCACACATTGCCAACTACTTAGTTTACTATTACATCTTTGCTATTGTAGAGGAGGTGTGCCCATTGGAGAG